AGAGAGAGAGAGAGAGAATATTATAATGTGCAGTGCAGCCAGGTTTGAATTTCTCAAGGATACTTGATCATAAGACTCACCAGAGAAGCATTTCAAAACACATGGGATGGTACAACCCAAGAATCATCCCCTAATTACCATGGGTGATTATTAGAATCCTAAAGTTTGGAAAACACTGATCAAGAGACAAATTGGAATGCAGGCTTAAATAACTGTGGAAAGTGTGATACAAATGTAGATTTTGTCATCTTTTAGTGTATCCACCAATGATATGTTTGCATAACATACTTTCAGGACAAGTGATGGCCTTGATTGAAAACGGTACCACATTCCTCTTATGAAGAATTGGACTCTTCTGAGCTTATAGAGGCAGGAGGAGCCGATATAAAAAGTGGTATAAAAGAAAGGAGGCACCTTCCCAACCAGCGAAATCATCACGATCAACCCTGGGGATCAGGGCACTGATATGTTATAGCTACCCTTGCTTGATATGCCGACCATCTAAGTGGAGAAGTGATTGTGTTCTCATGAGATTATGACCCCGCTTTCCAGGGTAAAATCAGTAGATTTTAAGTAGTTCCTCTAACACAGAGTGTCCCAAAGTGCCTATCATAGAGCGTTAGTTCTGTCTATGGTCATAGTTCTGTGAAAGAGGTAATTTCATGGAAAAGAAGTTGTGTGAACAAGTGATTTGAGAAATATGGCATTTTATATTCATCTCTTAGAGATCCATAGCACACATAGCACACATTAAGACCGATAAATCCTGCATGCCTGGTTAGCATTGCTCATTCCAAGATTTTTCAGTTAGCTTTAATATAGAAATGTTTTTTGTTTTTTGTTTTTTTTTAATAGGGCTACCTATTCGCATCTGAAGAAACTGCTCCTTGGAGAAATCTTGAGGATTTCTAAGGTATGACTATTTTACTGACATCTAGGAGAATTATTTATGAGGACTAATACAGATGACAAGGAACAAGCATTTAGTCTGTTCAAAGATAAAAAAAAAATAGGTCACAGAAAAAATGTGTTTGTTTAATAACTGATGAAAACAATAACTGGTGGAAATAACCACATGGAAAAAAGAAAAGAAATTCTTTGTTCTACATTCTGTTCACACTGTGGGATTTAAGGAATCAAACAAGTATGGAACCCTAACTTCTAAGTCAAGCCACAGGCGTGTGTTGAATTCTACTGGTTACTCTTTGCTCTGTTAGTTGCTGTGGATACTACAAAGGGATTTAGGACACAGAGCTTATAACAGATTTGTGATATTAATAGTGGGTGTTTATTGAGTCGCCGGTATGTATCAGGGTCCAGTCTAGTCCTTTACGTATATATCTTGCTTATTCCCCATGATAGCCACATAAGGTAAGTACTGATATTATGTCCATGTTTTCTGAGGTCTGGTTCAAGAACTTATTCTAAGTCACACCAATAGTAGTGAAGCTGGCATCTAAGGCTTGGAGGTTTCACTCCAGAAACTCTAAACTTGAACATTATAGTACACAGCCTGCAAACTGGACGCGTGCATCCTAACTAGGCATGCAGAAGAAAGGATTACTGGGCTTGGGGGCTCATTTAAAAATTTCCCACTTGCTGTGGCCTTAATTTAAAATCTCAGCTTTGTTCAACTTTAAGTATATGTTTTAAAATTTATATTTTAAGTTATTTAAAAATATGTAAATACACTATATATATGTATGTATAGAGTCTGTATTATTAGTTTAATCAACATATACATAATACATACCATCAATATACATCTAGTGTATCCCACATATTTGCTTTAACGTTCCTGTCTCTTCAAGAAACCTTCTATCCCTTGATTTTATAGGAACTTTGTGTTTGGGAAAAAGCTTGGCCAGGTTCGTTTTGACCGTCCTACTTTGGTGGCAGGCCACATGTGAAATTTCAGCCTTGTCTGAGCTCTGCACATGGGCGGATTTCAGAGTCTGTCGTTATTTCCCAGCAACATGGAATTAAAGGCCTTTCCTTGTGTTCGTTGGCAACTTTTGGCCCCTCGGTCATACTGAGACACTGTAAGCCTGAAGCGCCCCCGCCGGGCCGCCAGGAGTTTGAGTCCAGCATGCCAGCTAGCATTTCAGGCAAACCCTACTTTTTCACTTTGTTTGGGTTGAATTTGGTCTTCTCCTGTCCCTTTGGGCTTCTATCTTTGGATATTTATTTATGCTTCTGTCGTTTTAGAATGCAGGCTTTCTTGTTCGATGGGATCCTTTGAAAATGTTAAGTTGACCATGAAGATGACAAAATACTCCTATTGAATTATCTTTCCTTGTTTCGTCTTATTCCCTGCAGTTTCTTGGTGGGGGGCTAGGGCAAGACTTGCTACTGACTGGGTGCCAAGCTGTTCACCATATCACGTCTGTTGAATGTACACATGGCGAGAGCTCATGTTCAGGGACCAGGGGGCGTCCTTAGATAAGCCTCTTCCTTTCCAAATCCCTTCTAGGATGACTTTCCCATTTCCTGTCCTGCTGATCAGGGATTTGAAGTTTGGAGTGTCTTTGATGTTTTCTCCTGGCCATGCCAAAGCCTCCCCAGGAGACAATAGGCTCTCTCAAGCCTATGCAAATGGATTTTTAAGTCAGTGTGTCTGCCAAGCTGTTGTGTTTCTTTGCTCTCCCTTTGATGTCCATCCAGCATAGTGCCTTGTATGCCTCACCCAGTGCCCAGCGTGGAGCAAGTCCTCATTACCATTGGCTTGGTATGGAAATCAGAAAAAAAATTTCTAGAACTCCCCTCTAGCCATCTCAAGATTATTTCCTTCTTCCCAGTCCATCTCCTTTCCTCTCCCCTCTACCATACAGACATTTGCCAGGTATGAAGTAATTTCAATAAATTGAAATAAAACAAATAAGTAAAACCAAGGAGAGATAAGAGCATGGTTCCTTTAAATAAAAGACCGCAGAATTGAAATAAATTTAACTGTCATTTTACTCATATACTGAGAACCTGTTTTTTTCAAGGCTTCAGATCTTTCAGCAAGGCTCTGGACTCATCCAGTAAGCCCAGTTTAAATATATTCTGTTCTCGTTCTTTCCGAGGTGTGAGAAGGGTATTTATGGAGGGACTGATCCAAAAATGAGGTGTTAACAAATCAGACAATCCCTTTCACACCTATTGACACATATGTGGAAATCTACTGACAACTTTCACCCCATTCATTTTATTTTATGCTCACTAGTTGGTTTCCAAATGAAATATTTTTTCATGAAGAAAATAGTGAAATAAAACACAAGGCGTGTGACTATAAAACATGCTATGTTAAATTTAGTTTGGATAAGGCACTGATGTTATTAAAGATATATGTGTATGTACAGATGCTCCTCGCCTTATGATTGAGTTATGTCCCAATAAACCAATTATAAGTTGAAGATGTTGTAAGTTGGCAATGCATTTAATATTACTCTGTAAAGTATCAGTCATTTACCCTCATGACTGTGTGGCTGACTGGGAGCTGTAGCTCGCTGCCATTGCCAAGCATCACGAGACAGCATTGTATTACTAGCCTGGGAAAGGTTGAAATTCAAAATTTGAGTCTACGGCCACGCTACTCTGAACAAGCCCGATCCCGTCTGATCTCGGAAGCTAAGCAGGGTCGGGCCTGGTTAGTACTTGAATGGGAGACCACCTAGGAAGACCAGGTGCTGTAGGCATAAAAAAATAAAATAAAAAAATTAAGGGATCGTAAGCTCTGACAAGGTCCTTGCAATCTGTGAGGTCAACCAAGGGTTGCTGCGCCTAAAAAAAAAAAATTTGAAGTACCACTGCCACTGAATACATATCACTTTCATCCCATCGTAAAATTAAAAAATCATAAGTTGAACCGTCGTAAGTCAGACTCCATCTGTACTTCAATTCCTGGACTTAACAGTCATCAGAGTGTGCCAATATAACTCCCTGGGAGGGATTATAAAGAAGGATGTTGAGACCCGGAAAGGTTAAGGGACTTGAGTCCAGGGTCATTCACTGAGTCATGTTTTCTCTCAACACTTTCTATACGCATTCTCTTCTCTTCCCTCCTGACTGTTGATTCTGGCTCTGCTCCTTCTGGGAATCTCTGATATTCTTCTTCCTTTTCAACTCGAATCGTTTCACCTGGTGCATGTCCTTCTTTTGTATTTGATGTTTCCTCCAACGATTCCAACAGATGCTGCTCCTCTTTCCTTCCTACTTCCTTAAGGTTGTAACAAATGTGCCTATTTGTGCTTAAGTCTCTGCTGTCTTGCTCATCTCGGTTGATATCTAAAATAAATGACTTGCCAATTGTAGATTATTAAAACTAGTCTAGTGTTGGCAGACTCTAGCCTCGGGAGTATTTCCCAGGAGACTGGTCAGGCTCTATAGAGCCATAAGATTGGTAGCATCTGTTGCTTCGAATGATAATAAATAATGCAAGGGGAGAGGCAGTGTTTAGGTGACTAAGGGCAGCAAGACTAGTTCTGTTTGCTCTTTATTAGCTCTGGAATGGAGAGGAGCAGAGGCTCAGACAATCCAGATACCTAAACATGATATTTGCATGTGGCTTCAGAGTGCTTCCTTCGCCATGAATTTTGAATGTGAGCTCTTTGATCTTCCAAACATTCATACTTCAAACACCAGGGGTGTTTATAAACACTGGACCGAGGCACTGGACAAGTTGTCCAGATTACTTTTCCCGAAATCCTCCCTCTAAACCTCATTTGCTGAAATGGTCTATATCTCCTTCTCTCCCGCTTCGTGTAAGCCAAACTGTTCTGGTTGAGATAACGTGTTTGCATGGTTCAACCTGTCTTCCACGTGCGAAGAGAGAATCATCATTAGATGTGTCAGCTCAGCATTTCTGCTCTTCTGTGCTTCCTCCTTTCAGGGAGGTCATAGCTCAGAAAGTCCTGCCAAAGTAGTAATGTTCAATACAGAGTGTGGTCTCTGGCAATGTCTTTCTTTCACGATTTTGGCCAATTATGTTCTCAGAAAGAAATAAACGCATCAGTACATTAATAAATTCAAAAATATACACTATACAATGTACAAATTCATAAAATTTTTTCTTTATTTATGTATTCATTTATTTATTTAAAAGAAAATCTACTTCTTGCTAGTGAAAGGAAGGTTTGTCTATGATAAGAATCAGGGAAAATAAAAAAGTTAAAGAAACCGGGAGACCAAATGTCCAAACAACAAAGAGTGTTGCCCTAAACACACAATTTTTCTAATTTTGTTTAATGTTTATGGAAGTTTTATAATGTGCCTTGTACTGTCCTAGGTATACTGGGGTCAAAAAATATATAAGAGATTATCTTTGCAAACAAAGGCCTTACTTTTTTAAAAAACAGAAACTTTGCATCGGGCACCCAGATGGCATTCAAAAAAGAGCGTGCAGTCAGAAAGAATATGCATTCAAATTCTGTTGGTCATTAGAAATGGAGGAAAATGCTTCATTTTCACTTAATGCCAGAACCAATATAAATTTAGAAATATTTGCTCATGAGAAATACCTCAGAGCTTTCTTAGCAATGTGTCCCAGTCAGTAAAACTTATACTAATTTACCATCCTATCTTTGCCTAGAATATAATAGTAAATAGAGAGCAAGAGAAGGAAAAAGAAAATTAGGCAAACGGTAGGGGCCAATGATTCATTTAAGAAATTTACTTCTACTCAACCGTGCCTAAAGTTTATTATAAAATATTAGATGAAATTACAATCTCTTTTGAACCCCAAATGGGATCATCCAGAATATGGTCAGAAGACAAATTGGAAGACCAACCAAGCCTGCCTTACAGGTACTTGATACCACTGGAATTAACTTACTGTCACACCCTGAATGCAGCCTAGTGTTGAATGAAACTGTAAACATTCAAGTTTCTTAGACGCAAATGTGCTAAGCTTGAACATAGTTTTCTGTACAG